GCTGGAAGTCCCGCCGGGTTATGTGAACCGATCCGAGTTCATTTTTCGCAGCTTGGGTGGAAGGTTCCCTTCCATCCTGCCGCCGCCCGATAGCTTCTGCAGCTTGGGCGGCAGGTCGGCCACCGACTGGCTCATGGGATCCGACATCATCTTGGTGGTCTTAGACACCAGTTTCTCCTCGGAATTCCCGGGGACCGAGCTGATCCGCTGGAGTTTCATGGGTAAATCCCCCATGCTGTAGGCCTTCTCAGAGGTGGTGGAACTCATCCTGAGGAGTTTTTTGGGGAAGTCTTCCCTCCCAGTTATTTTCTGCAGTTTTGAAGGTAGTTTTGTGCCAACTTCGTCGAGACCATCCAGGCACTCCACCGAGTTGTTCCTCTCCTTGCTGTTGCTCACAGCGGGCGCTATCAAGGGCGAGGACATGAGCAGCATCTCCTCCTGCTCCTTCACGCTGTACGGTGGGGTGGGCACCTCAAACGTCGCGTGGAACTGGGAGTAATCGACTTTAAAGAACCCCTCTTCCAAGGAGATAACAGGGAAGAACCGATGACCCCAGAGGACTTCATCCTCGGTGTAGGATGTCCTGGCTTGGCACGTCATCCCTGCAACGAGCAAGGGAGAAAAACCCTCACCAGTTATAGGCAATTGTTGATGCACGCAAATCTTGCGATTTTTTTGAACATTTCAATGAGACATATTTTATGTTTTTAAATGTGCAAAGAGAAGGTGTTGGCGTGCCCACCGTTCCCATACCACAGCCATTAAACTGCCAACCTCAGGGTGGAAGGAGCCAACGGCAGAGGAAGGAGCGTACCCGAACGATTCACGTCTACCAGCACGGCCACCTCTGAAGGGGCTGCCGAGAACAGGAAATACTACACTGATAACCCCCATACTAAATTAGCAAGAGCTAATTGTAATGTGAAGTTGGACTGCCAGGCTCTTCAAGCATTACTGAGCCATTCCACGTTTTCATCACGCCAAGGAACGCCCACAACGCCAGACCCTGCCCTTGCCGCGTCGCAGGCGCAGACCAAGCCCGTGCCGGCGCATGGTGACCCAGCAGCGAGCAGCACGCACGGCCCACGAAACACAGCCCTCCCTGGGTAAGGGCTTCACCAGCAACCTGCTCACGGACCCGTCGCTGCCAGCCCGGGATCCGAGCTTCAGGAAATCAGCAGGGAAGAAGAAATCGGACTAAGAGGCACGACACTGCTCTCCCTCTTCCTCCGCCGCCTCCCTGCTCCCTCCCGAGCACCCAGGCTTGGCCAGCCCTGTGACCCACCCAGCCTCAGAAATCAGGAAACGATGACCAGGGGTAGCTGGAGGCTTCTAGAAGAAATGCTGCTTGCTGCTGCTTTTGGTTTTTTACTTTTTAAAATGTTCTCTGTAGCAATCTGTAAATAGAATTACCCCTCCGTTTTATCCCAGTACAGCAAACTGGAAATACGACATTTGGCTTTCAGGGAGTTAAATCTACCCCTGCAAACACATCCTCTGCTCAGCTGGCAGGAACGCCTGTCAGTCAGGAGGAGACTTTGGAAGGTGCAAGAAAAGCGACCACGGGGCTGCAGCGGGGGGGAGCGAGGGACGGACGCGCGCCTGGTGACACACAGCCAGAAGAACAAAACTTCATTGCACTTCATGTGGCTGCTAATGGAATCCAAGCTGTGGTTTCGCAGAGCGAATCCTGCTGCTCGTATGGCTGAGTATATCACAAGACATAAACCTCAGTTTTCTGTTTTGTCTCCTAGGAGAGAAATACTACTGGAGAGAGTCCAGGGGAGGGCTGCGAGGATGAGGAGGGGACTGGAGCATCTCCCCTATGAGGAGAGGCTGAGGGAGCTGGGCTTGTTCAGCCTGGAGAAGAGAAGGCTGCTGAAGATGAGGAAGAACTTCTTCCCTCTGAGGGTGACGGAGCCCTGGCCCAGGCTGCCCAGGGAGGCTGTGGAGTCTCCTTCTCTGGAGATATTCCAGCCCCGCCTGGACAAGGTCCTCTACAGCCTACTGTAGGTGACCCTGCTTCAGCAGGGGGGTTGGACTGGGTGACCCACAGAGGTCCCTGCCAACCCTGACCATTCTGTGATTCTGTGAGCCAGACACGGGAGGTCAGACCCAAAACCTCGGGGTGAAGGACGCTCTCCAGCTTCTCCTCTCAACGTCCACTGTTACTTTCTGATGCAAGTGACGATGACGAGCTGTGCGACGCGCGGCTGAGAAATGCACAGCCTGGCGCAGGGGTTCCACGCAGCCAGCAAGCGTGGTGCCGGCGCTCACACTTCCCGTCTCCTTGGAAAGAACCGCTATTCTTAGCACTAACATTTCCCCGTCGTCATTTCAAGGGGTATTTTTTTTTTTCTTTTCCACTAAACTGACAGTAGTTTGAAGGGCAATAGAACTTTCTGTCAATCTGCGGTCGCCAGCCTCTGCCGTCAAAGCGCCGGCGCTTCCGCAGCCGCAGGAGATGGGCAGCCACCTCGCCACCGACGCATGTAATCCTTCTGCTTACCTTTAAAGTGATGTTTCAACAAAAACCCCTTTTGTTAAAGAGGAAAAAACCATGGCATTATCCGAAACGCAACAAAGACAGTCTTCAAGGGAACAACTGTACGAAGGCGCCCTACGAGCTCCTGAGAACACGAGCTCCAAGCCAGGCCATGGGAAGGACATCGCCGGTGGCCTGCAGAGCCCCAGCCCTCCCCGAGGCCAGCCTGTGCCACGGAGCGAGGGGAGAGCAGTAGAGGGGGATGAGGGCATGGGCAGGAAGAAGAAAATAGCTCAGGTTTTGGCAATTATGGATCATCTGTGTTCTTCCTTTCTGTGACGCACGAGCAGACGCACTGCCCATTTTGTTCACAGAACCACAGCATCATCAAGGTTGGAAAAGACCTTCGAGATCATCAAGCCCAACCATCAACCCACCACCACCGCTTGCTCTTTAAGCTTATTTCAGGTTTCTTCGATGCAAGCAGGTCCTGGGACGAGAGACACAAAGCACAGCAGGTGCCCTACGGATCGGCTCCGCGAGAGCCGCGTCCCTTTTTCACAGCAGAAGGAAAAAGTGGGGAAAAAAACATGGCAAGCTCCCGACGAGCGTGCGGCGCCGGCAGAGGGGACCCGGGACGGGAGGTCACCCACCTCCTTGGGCACCCACTCGGCAGACGACGGGGCAGGGGAGGGGGGGCAGCCCTAATCCCTCTCTTGACCTCCTTGGAAGTGCTTAAAATCAGCCTGCAGCAGTATATAGGGAGCAACAGTCAGTCTACCGCAGCCGTTAATATCAGGTAGTGCTTGGGTAACGGGTCCTCAGCATGGGAATCTAATGTTTTTATCCGAAACTCGCTTTCCTCTGCTCGTGTACTTCACCGAACAGGCAGGATCCCCTCCGCGGAGCAGCGGATGAGGCTGTTTCGAACAGTGTTTCTAACGCCCTTGGCGACTCCTAGATGGAGATGCATGAACGTCTGAACCCGAGGAAGAACTTCTTCCCTCTGAGGGTGACGGAGCCCTGGCCCAGGCTGCCCAGGGAGGCTGTGGAGTCTCCTTCTCTGGAGATATTCCAGCCCCGCCTGGCCGCGGTGCTGTGCCCCCTGCTCTGGGTGACCCTGCTTGGGCAGGGGGTTGGGCTGGGTGACCCACAGAGGTCCCTGCCAACCCCTCCATGCTGGGACTCTCTGAAGTGGAACAAATTAGGCACGTAGGCAAACGGGAGCCAAGGGAGCAGAGCAAGCCGGGGAAGGCAGGGCACGCCGTTATGCAAGAGTCAGCCATCAGTCTCAGGCTGAACATTCCCATTTCTCACCGCGTGGAACAGCAAGCCCAGGCTTCTGCTCTGCTACTCAATTTAGAGACGTTGTTTATGCTCTGGCTCTATAAATACCTCCTGGTTTGCTCAGACTGTTCCCCCAGGAGCTATCTTGACACTTAAAAAACAGCGGTGACAGCCAAGGTATTTTTCTTATCAGCCCGGTCCTCTTCTCAGGGCAATTTTTAATCACTCACACTCACATAGTTCTCTGACATCTCGCTGACAGCTCGTCCTGATGAATACCAGGACCACAGCTACCCATCATTAGCACATATCACAACAGGTTTTGAAAATTTTATAAAACCTGTGCGTAAAAGCAATACCTCACTGGGTTTATTAATTCTGTCCCCACACGAAGGAACGCAACGGGGTACTGCCAGGTGAGCCAACCTCCCCCTTCTGTGTGAGCCGCTTGACAAAAGAGGGGGAAAAAATAAAAGCCCGGCATCCTCCAGCTCTGCCCTTCTGCTCTCCTCCTTTTG